AACACCTTTCTTTTTTTATATGACTAAAATGTTACAAGAAATACCGTCTTCTATATCTATTCCCTAAATTGAAATAACTCTCAGGTCTTGTAAGGAGAAACACTTCTGAACCTCTTACACATATATTGTAGCTCTTTTGTATCATGAAAGAAAAATACTGGTACATGTAGGAGGTAAGAACTGTCCTATACAGCATATACAGTAGGGGCCATAGTTGGAATCTCAAATATTTTCCAGGTAGTTGTATACAACAGGGTACCGATCTTTAACATCTGCTCTAAATTTCCTGGACATCAATATGATAGTAAAAACCTACCGTTTCCGGAAACACTGTAATGTGTTCTATTGAGGTACAAAAATACTATTGTGACAATTTTTACATAGCAACAAATCGATCGAGTCATACCAAAAAATCATCAGAATTATTTCAATATGCAATGTATCCAGCATTCGAATGATTCATTGGAAAAATAAAACTTAATTCATACAATCATACATATAAATACATATGAGGGTTGTCCCAAAATTCCGTAGACAAGCGTTGTTTTGTAGGAACCTTATGTCATACATTAATAAAACTTCTTATATAGATTAAACAAACAGTATCTAATAAATTTACGGACAAATATGGAGTAACTATACAAAATATTCCAATATAAAAGACATATTCAATTGTCTGGTGTAGGAAGGCGGCGCAATACCCAAAAGTTGCATTTAAAATTTGATATATCATGTATGAAATCCTAAGGAAAAGTAATTAATACGTCATATTTTTTTAATGGAACTGAAAATTCTTAATATTGTTTAATTAACTATATTTTCTCAAATTTTCGTGTTTATGCTTTGATAAATATGAATTTTATAAAGTTTTATATCCATGGGGTTGAAATCCGAATTTTTGAAAAATGGCGGCTGCGTTGGCCCAGGCGGCGCACTGGACTATGATCAAGTGTTATAATCCTGAATTTACTCTTACAGAAATGTAATAGTCAAAAATGTATATTTTTATACATTGGTATATTAGGAAACTTTTTCTCGTCCTTAGTATTTAAAATAACTAAAACGGTTTCTCCATGCATATGTGAATAACAGTAACTAAAATAAATGACAGGACAGAGAAATGGTCAAGAGTTCCATTGTGCAAGTCAATTAGAGAAAACAGACGATAAACCCGTAGAAATATACCGTTTTAGAATTATTATTATTTAATACGTTTAAATGCATATACTTTGTTTACATATTTTAATGTTTTATCATATAATAGTTATTAATATATTTTACATTTTATAACCATAACTGTTCATTTAATTTAAGAATTTGATTCTGGGAATTGAAATATTTTTTCCAAAAATTTGAACCATCGGCATTTGTATTTTTTGACGTTGCAGATTGCTCCGGGTGTCAGAGAACTATATCACTTTAAGTGTTATTATTCGACAATTTTTCAAGTTAACATGATAAAACTTCGTAATTTATCTACCAAGAACATGTTTTATACACCCTATAAATTTTATAAAGATACGTTCATTTCCTTAAAAGATATGAGTTCAGTCTACGGAATTTTGGGACAACCCTCGTATATTATAATGTGGTATCTGAAGACATCCAAATGTGATCCTTCGACTTTGAAAAATTTAATTGAAAAAAAAAATCTAGATTTCTTTTATACTTAATAGTCAGCTGCTTGTTCTTATTTAATTAATTAAAGAATGCACAGGTTTAACCTTTCTTCTCTGCGAATTGAGCTATAATATAGCGCTTGTCACTTATCCGCAAATGTCCAAATATTCTTATCCTGATGCTGTTTTAAAATTAGGTCAATTCCACGGAAAGAAACATCATGTTACCAAGAGTAAATCATGAATTTCAGCATTGACGTTTAAAGAAATGAGAGTGCCTATTATAATTATTGGTTATGATATCTCACTACATGTATGTAATAATGAATTGAATATTTTAACTAATTTGCTTTCTCTGTTTTCATGTTTTTACTGAATCAAACTTATGCTTGTGGAATACTAAAGAAATATTAATTACATGTAAGTAGGTCAATGCTGGTTTTATCCTTTTCTGACTAATATTCATCCTGGTAATGCTGGGTTTTTTTTATCAATGCAATGCTGAATACTGATGATTAATTTGATACTGATTTTTATCCCTCTTCTGTATATTAATGCATTTAATTAATCAGTTTAAGCTCATCTGAATCGAGGGTAAATTTGAACGACAGTTGTCTAGATACAAGACTATGGTGGCATATTTATGCCATCCACTTAATTTTTTGTTAACATAGCATATCATGTCAATTCAAGATACATGTAACTATCTCGTCAAGTGATGATAACTTTCTGGTTTGTCGACAAACACCGACTTTATTTTTTGCCAAATCAAGATAAGCTATCACGTTTCGTTGCAATAGCTATCTTGACATGATGAATTATAACTTTTAATCGCGATACAATATAAATTATCTCGTTTTGTAGAGATAGCTATCGCAAATCTTGACTGTACAAAAAAAAGTTTGTATTTGACGACAAACCAGAAAGTTAATGACTTGATACGATAGTTATCTTTACTTGACGTTATATCTTATGTTTACAAAATAATATGTAGATGGCATATATATGCCACCATACAAGACAGATTTAGAGCTCCAAGTCTTTGTTATGTAAACAAAGCTTGTGTCATGTTTTTGTTTACACGGGTTTATATACTAATATATGTTCATTCAAAGAAGATAATTTCAGTATAAGTTAATTCTTAATACGATTCGACAGTTAATACATGTATATTGATTTGCTGAACTTCATTTTGTTAGAAATATGATATTTTCTATGTGTAAAAAAAAAAAAAAACAAAGGACGAGCCTTGTTAACATTATGAAGAACTTTAAGTTCTGTATTTTGTCTGATGATAAACAAATGATGTTCACTTTTTGCATATCAATTGATGATGCCTTGGGTAGGAATTGTAAACATTAAAATTGGTTTTCAAAAAAATCAGTTGAAACTGTGTCCAGTCCCCTTTAATATACAAGATAGTAATGAAAGCACGTGTGAAGGTGTCAGATGCATGGCTTCGTACTAGCTTGGATTACACTGCAAGAAATTATTTTAGAATCCAAACACTTTTCTATACACTTAGTCGTTACATCCTTATTTTAATATGGCTATAAGTATGTCCTAAACATGTAAAATTTCATTACATGTATTTATTAAATAGGTGCTGAGATTTAATGGAAAACTTGAATGTGTACTTGAATGTGTGCTTATAAATTAAACATATCAGAATGATTAATCAATTAGTGTCGGTACTCCTAAAGAGATCAGGACGTTTCATTCTCTTTAGGGGATGGGGTGGGGGGCAATTTGGATGTGTCAGATAAATGGTTTCCTACAAGCTTGGGAAAGTGAGTAAAATCCTTATCTCAATTTGTAGAGTTCAGAACTGGCACCCAGCAATGGTTAAAAAAAATCTGTAATATATGTACATGTAACATGTAAGATAATAAGTTGCATGTCGCCATGCACATCTTGCATATTTTTTGCTATGACATATAAAAGTCGCATATTTACATTAATTATCTCGCATATTAACTTGAATAACTCGTTTATCAACAGAATATTTTTACATCTTGCGTGTGTGATGTATATATAATAATACATAAATGCATGTAAATAAATTTCCCTTAAACCTTAAGGCCGAGATTTTGAACCGTACGGTTTTCTCAAGATAAAGTTAGAAATCTAATTTTGCATGCATAGCAACCCGAGGCATTGGCGGTCGTGAAGACCGTGTGAAGACCCTCTACAGCTTGTTGGCCTGCTTCATCATAATATTAGTACATCTCGACATCGTAAATAAAGGAAATATCTTTAGTGATTTATAAAATTAATAACTGTAAAATTCCCTTTCACACTTATATCAACAGTTACTCACTGTTTGTACAAAAGTCGCGTGGTCCTATTTTTAGCAAATGCACATTCTGTATACAGCTGTTTGCATAAAAAGTCTCGAAGTCCAATTTTTTGCGAATGTACAGTCTGTATCCAAGTGTGAAAAATCGGGTCATGATTTGAACAATTCAATATGTACACTACTCAAGAATGCTTCCACATATGTTTCAGCTTTCCTGGTCCAGTTTCGTAAAGTTAAAATAACATATATTGTGTGCGTATGTTAAGTGAATTTAAATTATAATAATTAAACAACTTAAGGGAACCGACTGGTGTTTTATTGTGGGAAAACTACAATACCAAAACTCTTTATTACGTCTCAAAATGCAGGTTCATTTTCTATAGGATTATATAGGAAAATGCCAATTTTTAGCAATTTAATGCATATTATACAAATACTAAAATATTCTTTTTGTTCAAACTATAATACTTAATGAGAAATACAGTATTATACAATGTACGAAACAAAAAATTCTACCGTCTTGTTATTAGAGAGGGCATCTCAATACCCAAAAATTAACGAAATTTCCTGCTTTTATAGAGTACTACAAAATATGAGGCACAAGAAATTATATGAAAACAAAATAAAAATAATGGAGATATTCTCAAATTTGTATGTTTTAAATTCAAAGTGCATATGTTTATTACTTTTTCTTTATTCTTAATTTTATTACCCTTTTCTTTAAGAGCTTCAGTTTATCATAACGTCAAAAACACACTGTAACGACGTCAACCTACCTATCAGTGGCAAAATCAGTAAGAAAATCAGTTATATAAAACTGTAATTTACATTTTTATACCTATAATTAAATTATTTTGTTAAATTTTTATAAATAAGCAAAACAAGTTACTTTCAAAAAGTCAACAAGCTTACACCTGTGACTTTGATCGGAGGAACAACTCCACGCATCTTCACAACGTCAGGGGTCCTGAGTCAACAGGTTGCCGTTGGACCCCTGACTTATTTCATTCGAAATCTGCGGGTTTGCTTCTCTCATTGAGAAGCACCAATCAAATTGCCCGTTACATAAGACGTAAACAAATATGGCGCACAAGCATGGATGATTGTATTTTGTGTTTGGAAAAATTACCGAAAAAGAACAGAAGAAATATTTACAGTGACACGTTTTTTGTGAAGAAACAGTTAAATGAGGTATTAGGTTTTGTACCCGAACAGGGAAAGCATTCATCGCCCCAATACACTTGCTACAGGTGTTTTAACAAACTGAATAAGCTATGCAAGATTGAATATGAATTAGAAAACAAATTATCAGCACTTAAAAGAGAAAAATGTGACATTATCAATGAACTTAGACCAAGTCGGAATGTTTTATTGTCTCCAGCAAAGAAAGTCCCCTCGGTCAATTTTGGCGGTGCCTCTAGTTCCATCCAAACTCCAAGGAAGTTAACAAAACGTGTCATCTTAAGGACTCCCACACCACGCAAAAATAAGAAAGTCTTTCGAGATCCACAGCAAAATATTAAAAAAACAGTCAGGAAAAGACTAGCAGACGATCAGCTGACACCAAGCAAAGTAAAGGTACATATTCTATTTTTGTACAAATAGGAAATAAAAATATTTCCCTTCAATGTAAACATTTTTAAATTTTTCAATTGATGGTTTGGTCTTATGAATAAAGAATAAAATATTCCCAAGAAACATATGTATATACAGTTTTAAGACAAATTTATCACACAATGTGCATCTTGATATTGTACATATATCTTTTTCATTCTTTTTAATTTTTGTAACTTGTGGCAGACAGGTTCCATGGCCATTGGCCAGATAGCTCGGTAGAGTATCTGACTGGAGATTCAGGGTTCAAATCCTGGTCTGATCTGTTACATTTTTCTCCTGTTACACATGTTTAGATTAGCAGTAAGATTTAATGTAAGCATGGTACATGAAAAAAATGCAACAGTTAATTTTATTATTTTTTGTAGGTGCATTTTAGAGGAAAAAATGATTCAAAAGTAAGGACATGCTTTATTAAAGACAGTCCTTGGGTGGCAGTATTAAAATCCCTGGTAAGAGGCAATAAAGCAGAGATCATCTCCAAAAAATTTACAAAATAGAGGTTCTTAAGACAGAAATGATTAAGTTGATGCTGTCTGAACTGAACACTCAATGCCAAGATTTATGCAAAATATCGCACCCCTCAGTTTTGCGTAGTAACGATGAAGTTCACTTTAAGTTTAAGAGTGTATGTGAAGAGCTGAAAGAGAAAGCACCAATGCTGTATGATGTACTTCAAACAGTTACCAAGAAGAAAAATGATTGCCGATTATCTGTTGCTGCATCAGTTTTGCTTTGGAACAGAAATAAGCACATGTCACAACTACATCACATCATTGGGCAGATTCTAGATCATGGAGGTGCAACAGATGAGGTATTTTTTTTTACCCGATTAAAAATACATTAAAACAGTCATGCAAATTAGAGAAATACTACACCAAGCATCTATATGTGATGAAAGTTGATTTAAAAAAAAATATTTCAAGTGAATTGAATATAAAATTTTCCCTTGAAAGTAAGTCTCTCTCTAATTTCAGACTATTCAAACTCTTTCGGAAATGGGATTGTCCATTGGGCCACAGTCAGTCTCAATTAAGAGAGGAAAACTTGTCCAAATAAATAAAGAGAAGCTAAATGATATTTTCCAGAAACAGATTGATCAGACTGTTTTGAAGCATTGCATATCATTAAGCAAGAGTGCAGAAAAATCCATTTTGGAGTATGAACCAGAGCCGGCGGAAAAAACAGAATCAGGTACATCTGATATTCAGTATTTTGATTTGGTCAATTCCTTTAAGACATCCCAAACAAATCAGTCCTTTACGAGCCCATCTGAGCATTCTTGCTTGACAATATCAAGCAATGATTATGAGATGAGAAAGAAAATGTTTATCGATGTCTACGGCCAAAACACTTTACCCGAGTCAGCGCAGGTACATGTATTACGTAATCCAACCACAGAGGTGAAATCACTGACTTTGAACACCAAACTTGGCAGTATAGAGTTTCCAAGTTTACCCTCAAGACCACTGAAGCATTTTCAGTTAGAAGAACCGGTCAATGTAATTGCCAAGCATGATAGAAGTAGCATGATTTTGAAAGACTTTATAACAAGAAATGCTGATCAGATGTCACCCACTATACCAAGGTTTGAAATCATTGGAGACAACTTAGACCACACTATATCACCAACAAACATGACTAAAGATAAACAGAGGAAAAGCCTCCATTGGTTTCTTAATGTGGCAGTTCAAAGAAGAGTGTTGGCAGATGATTTACCTAGTGATAAGCCTAAAGCAGATATTTTGAAGGTACCTAATAGTGAGTTTTTACCTAGCAGGGAAGACTGTGAAAGTTTCCACATCAATATGATCTATCATATTGCATTAGTTGTTACTAAGAACATTGACTGTCTGCAGCCATTTGCACAATGTGTCCCCAAATATATTGATCATCCGTATTTGAAAGAGCTGTCTGAAAAATCAGTGTATAACATTGTAGACCTACTCGATAAAAGTGAAAATAAGTCTGATGACATGATTTCAATTCTCGAACATGTGCATAAACATTATGTCCCACATTCTGGTGAAGATATTGTAGAGAAAATTGTATTTGGTGGGGATGTCCTCACCAATGAACGGGCATACTCTAGCCAGCTGGCTATGATAAACAATGAAAGTGATTTTAGTCGCCTTACAGGAATTGTTCATAGGCCAGAGGGTCTCCATCGGATCATGAATTTACTCTTGGTATCCAGTAAAACAATTATTCCCTGTTCAAGATGTTATTGATGTTTGCATTTTCTATATTGAATTTCATATCGGATGCTTTATTTTAGTAAGTTTTAGTAGTTTTGTTACTGCAATGTTTTTCAGACATTGGTGAAGGTCCTCTTATTCTTTCATTCCCCCCCCCCTTTTCCATTTTCATATGAAATGTTGATTATATTTCTATAAATGTAATCATGCATTTGATTACATTTTTACTAATTAAGCATGCAGTTGATTGTAGTTTTACTAATTTTATTATGCAGTTATTTGTCTTTTGATTTGGATTTCACGACTATTAATAAATACCAAATCACAGTAAAAGCCAAAATTAAAAAAAAATAAATTTAATAATATAAACCAGAGTTTAATTTAATAGTAATTTGAATTTAAATTTTGTTATTTACATTTTTGACATTATTTGCAAATTGATATATCAGTATTTAACATAATTAACAAATGTTAAGGATCTCTAAAATTCTATATTCAGACCATTTATCAGCAATTCTACAAGCCTTCATCCGCTGCAGATCAAGGGACTTTGTTTCAATTGCGCAATGTCCTGCAGAGACGAGACGTTAGTGGACCAGATGGTGTCACTGAGAATTTTAGGTAAATCTCTTTTATATTATAGTAAGTAGTTTATTGGGAGTTCTGGGAGAGTAGTATATGCTTCACAATTGTAGGTCAGTGGTCTGAAAAATATGGATGGATCATCATTGGTCTATTAAAATATTTCTACACTTTAATACACAGATCTGTAGACAGAGTAACCTACATGTTCTATATGAATTAAATATAGCTCAAAGATGATTACTAAAATGATACTCAGAATCACATTTTTACTCCAACAGGTCTCACATGACATTCATCAGGGACTGTTTAGATGCCTTTCTTCTCACAGCCTGTATGGAGGTGTTGGACATCAAGAGCCTTGATGAAAAACCTAAAAGGACCATTCTTCCAGAATTATTACATCTTCAAAGTAAAGAAGACCAGTATGATTGGATAAAAGAGCTTTGTTTCCAGATCTTGAACACTTTTGTCTACATTGAAGAAGGTATTTAGTAGATGACTGATTTGGGCTCACATTCTATCTGCATCTGTCTATCTATAAATGTAATATGACTTTTACATCTGCATCATATAATACCTACATTTAATTGTCAGATTAAAGCCATAATTCATAATTCAGATTATACTTATTCACAATGAAGTTGTTGGATACTTTTGTCATGTTCAGGAGGAGGGGTCAGAGTCCTAATATATTTGGCTCAGTCAAATGTGTTGTGCTGTAATAGTAATTTTTGTTCTGTTTGGCAATGTGAGATATCATGTATGTGACCTAAAGCACAGTAAAAATTTAATTTGCAGATAGTTTGCAAACTGTCACAGCACAAGCTGCAGAAATGGACAACAAGGAGCTTTTGATGAGTGAAATGTATCAAGATGAATCAAAGCAGTATGTTTGCACCTGTAACCGAAAGTACAAGACAAAAAGGTCACTTCAAGAGACATCTGCAAAATGAACACAACTGGGTGTTTCATACAACAGAAGAGGAAACTCCCGAATCAGCAACATCAAAGCAAGACCACATAGCTCTGTGGCGTTCATTATTTATGAAACTTGCATTATTACTTAGGGACACAGAGGATGCTTTCAAATTTGGTGATGGAATACGTATATTTAGAAATGCAAAGTTTGAAATGATGTGTGCTGATATTGCTAACCATTCCAAATATAAACTGTGGCTTTGGCGACTCTTAGCCTACGAGTGTTCTCTCCTATCACCACGTGAGGCATTTGAGTACAAGTGGAATTGTTCCTCAAATATTCATGGAGGGACTGGGAAAAATATCCCTAATGACAATCTCGTTGAAATATGCGTACATGTTATAAAGAAGAAAATGAGACAGCAGGGTGCAAATCTAACTTTTGAAAGTGCTAAGAAGATTGCCTCGTGTGTGCAAATGCAGGAAGAAATAAAGTCCAGTGTTCAGAAACAGCTTGGCATGAAAACCTCAGGTCAATCCAAACCTACTGTGGATAAGAAAAAAGATCTTCAACTGATCATTATGGAACTTAAAGCTAATGACATTTTCAGTTACATTCCTGGGAGGGAATTCAGTGCTTTTAAAAGTTTTCAGGACATTTTTTCGCGTGTTAATGTGGTTCAACTTCACAAATGGATAACAAAACAAAAAGAAAGAGCAAGTTATGAACAGTAACAGTTTGATGTGTTTTTGTGTGATTTGTCATGTTCATAATTAAAATATCAATTAAACTTCATTCTTTTTTTTCATCAATTAACATGATTAAGGTGGGAAGGAAGGAGAAAAAGTGTTTACTGTTAATTGGAAAGAAAACAGAGAGATAAGATTCTACGAATTACTGTTTAAAGAAAATTGACAAAAATACACATATAAATCAATGGTCAAATATACTGATCATTTTTAATTTATATATATTTGAAAGCTATTTCATTGCCATGTTTTAATATTTTTGCTTGCCATAGCGGTACACAAAATGACCAGCAGATTTCCAAAAGTGAAAGTTGTATTTTTGGCTTTCTTCATATGTACCTCTTATTAGTATTAACGTTTTATTGACATAAAAAGTATAGAAGTATTTTCTTTAAAAATAAACTTTGTTCCTAAAGTATGGGTCAGTCAGGTAATGCCATTCCAAGTTATTTCTATGATTAGCATGGCCGCCTAGGTTTTTGACACCCAATATCAGAAAAAACAAACAAAATCGAAAGAACCAAAATCGATTATTCTGGTTGACTTCTTTGAATTTGGCCATTTTCTGTAATGATTTGTCTACAGTATGTCATATTAGGTATATCTTAAGCATTAAATACCTTAATTTTGCTAAAGTTAAGGTCTTTCTACAAGAAAAAAAAATTGAAATCAAATCCTTTGACTGACAACATAGGAAAAACTTTGAATGGCCTAAAAACATATTTTTTATGTTAGACCTAAAGCAAACTGTATCTAAATCTACTTTCAACATTTAAATGAAAATTTGTGAAATTGATCATATATTATAATTACTTCCTGTGAATATCGATGATTTTAGTTAACCTTTCGTAGCTTCACTATTTATTGAAAAAAAAAATCATTGTATTAAAAGAGTTTTCAGAGTCTTGCAATATTACCAGCATCTCAACAAAGACTTAGCACTGGATTATTATTTTTATCCAGTTTCATTACACTGGAAAACAATTATTTTCCTTGTTTAAAATAAGTTCCCAAAATAACATAATTTTTTTTAATGGTATAATTTAATCCATCCAGCCAGATTGTGCTCAAAAATGAAATTAAACAGAGAATTAAATGATCTAAGCTCTATAAATTAGACTACATGTATGTGAAATGAATCCCAAGTATTTTGAAAATGTATAGAAATAAATAAAATGATCATGAATGAACCAAATAAAAAAGGACAATGAATAACTAATAACCGATTAACTATGTTTTTGTTTTTTTTATATTTATTAATCAGAGTCAATCTCCTCTAATGCATACATTTCATTGTCATTGAATATTTCTGTAATTATTTGGATTATCTTGCTGGCTAATGAGAAAGAATCAACACTTGTTTTATCTAGTATATCATTTACAGTAAATAAAAAAGGTAACTTTGCTATGATTTCTTGAACAGAAAACCCACAAACAATGTCACTGTGAATGAAAGATTTGGTTCCTTCAAATATGTTGTCCTTCAATGACTGAAGTCTTTGTTGAACAATGGCTTTCTCTTCTCCTCCTATTTCTCTTCTCATGTCTAATTCATTATCTTCATCTCTCAAATTCAAAAATGTTTCCTTTGCAGAATGCTTTGACGGACAACCTTCACTTTGACATTTGCACATTAATTCACAGATGTCACAACAGAGGTGATCACAATCTCTTGTGTGTTTCTTCATGTAAGCTTCATTTAGAATTTTTCGCCTACATGTACTAGTACTTTTAAGAAGCTTAATCACATCATCATCCACCTTTTGTAATTGATTTGCCTTGTAGATAATCAGTTCATTTGATGGGGATCCATCCCTGCCGGCACGGCCCATCTGCTGCACTAAATTGTCAAGGTCTCTGGGTGGACCATAATGAACAATGTTATTTAAGTTTTGGAAATTCACTCCCATCCCTGCTGCATTTGTACATATTAACACTTTTATTCTACCATTCGCTTCATTCATGTCTTTACGGATTTTTTCTTTAGTGGCATCAGTTGTTTTACTGTGATACATGTTAAAATGATTTGTAGGCCCACAGATTTTTAAGAACAGCATATAAATCATAGCACAGTCTTTAATTGAGTTACAAAATATGAGATGCCTCTGTAATTCTTGCCCATTCTCAACTAATGCAGCTGTTAACCACTGAAATACATTTTCTAATTCTACATTATTTTTCACTTTCAGTACATTCAATTTAATGTTTGATCTATCTGGACTGTCTAGAATTACACAGGATGGATGACGAAAACACAGTTTCTGCATAATTTGGCGTCTGTGTGTAGGGCTAGCTGTCGCGGTGAGCGCCAGTATAGGTACCCCAATGCAAAGTGATCGCATCTCTCCTATGTGAGCAAACCACTCTCGAAATGGCCCTTCTTGTTGATGCTCTAGCCCCCTAAAAGTATACACAAACTTTCAATTTTAATAAATTAATAATCGATTTCCTGGAAAACTAAATTTAATTAAAGAAACATCATTTGACATGTGAGGAAGTTTTAAAACATGCATTGTTAAAAAGGGGCAATTTCAAGGTGATGCAATTCTATATTCTATTCTATATTCAAATGATTGATGTATTCTTATTAAATTACCATTGAATTACGGTGTGAGCCTCATCGACCACAATCAATTGGTTTTTTGATGTGAAGATTGGATTTCTCAAAACTTCTCTCCATTTGTCATCACCAACGAGAAGTTCGGGGCTTCCAAACACGAACTGGAAATATCCGTTCATAACAGCTTGCTTATCAGTGTCATTCGATACTTGCACAGCTCTGTATCCAAGCCTGTTCAGTCTCTCTATTTGTTCAGACATAATACTGTTCAGCGGAGCAAGCACAGTTGTAACACCATTCTCTCCCAAAACAATAGGCGAGCTTTCGTAGACCAGAGATTTCCCACTCCCCGTCTTTGTCCCAACAAATGTGTCTTTTCCTTTCTTCAGGGCATCGATCGCCGAAATTTGTTGATCTGTAAGTGACTTCAGATTGAATTTCTGACAAATTCTGTTTACAACTTCTATATCGGCCATATTGGCTGCCTTACCGAAAGGTAATGTGTTAGGCTTAATTTGATTGGTCGAGAGATTGTAATTTCCCCGAAAGACGTCGCTGTAGTCAACCCGCAGATTTCGAATGAAATAAGTCAGGGGTCTAACGGCAACCTGTTGACTCAGGACCCCTGACGTTGTGAGGATGAACTCCACGTAGCAAAAAAAAAAAAAAAAAAAAAAAATGAAAAGAAAGAAACTCTAAATACTTTATAATACTTGCCTGAAAATACCTTATAATACTTGTTCGGGCAAAGTTATTACTAATCTGACATTTTGTTTTCTACCTTCCTATCCAATGCATTGCAAAAAGTGTTTCCAGCTTATTTTCTTCTTTATTTTGAGTTTTATCGTAATTTTTTCACCGAGTCACAAAACAAAAATCTTTTAACGAGTGAAAACAAGATTTCAGTCACCTATTCACTTTTCATACGAAAAAATATACACAATATTGATTTATTTTATTGAAACACTATGAACTAATTTTCATTTTTCAATGACATGTTTGTAATACAGATAATTATAATATAAATTATAATGATGCTAAAATTGTTTACATTGAAATGGCTTTTGCAGTGCGATGGTAATTGAGCGGTAAAAATCAAAAGACTGAAAGTTAATTTAATGCTGGCCATGCGTGTCAAACAAGGTGAAAGAGATATACACAGGGACTAGCAGCTTAATGTTAATCAATTTCAAGTACTCAATGACGGACCTTGATTTATTTGATTGACGGGGGAATACAAACAAGGTAAATCTGGGGTTGGTGCTTATTATCTCGGTTTTATAATCAGATTTGTGGAAGGGATGGGTAACTTTGACGTTAACTAAATTGTTTTGTTTGTTTACATATTTAGGTGGCATGTTTCGGTATCCTACCCAATTTGAGACCTATTTTTCTTACCGTATAGGACCTATTTTCTTACCTTAAAGTCGCACGTGTGGTGCAGTGATTAGAGTGTCCGCTATAGAGCCGCTTAGTAAGGAGTTGATCCTTACGTCGCGGGTTTGAATCTCAGTGTTAGACTTGAAGACCGGTTCTTCGGATGGGACCGTAAAAACCGAGGTCCCATGTCGCAGTAGGTGCTGGCACGAAAAAAGATTCCGTACTGCTCAATCGCCCTAAAAAGAGCATAGGACTAATTTTGCAGCTCTTCACCAGTAAGATGTTGCATCTCCATAGGAGTGAAAAATTCTCAAGAGGGACGTAAAACAACATGCATTCTATCTTACCTTAAAATCTATCGTGTATTAAATATTCTGATATTGTTTAAAAGCATTTTAAATTCAAAAAAGTATTGACAAGGAGAAATTAAAACATTATATAAACTAAGCTGCAAAAAAATCTTATTTGATTGAAAGCATATAGTAAAAACTAATTGTCTGAAAAGAAAAATAATAAATTCGAAGAATGATGGAGGGGGAAGATGTATTTGATGTTTTTGATCCAAATGACGAAAAAAAATGAGTTTTTTTCAACGGATAGATACATGATTCACAAGTGAAATCAAACCCTTTGTGTCTCTATCTATTTCATTACAATCGTTGTTTGTTACTTGTTTTACTCCTTTCTTGTACCATTTTGTACAAGCCCAGATGTTACAATTATCCACTCAAAAGTACACCGTGGCGATCCAGGTTAGAATAGGTCCTCAATACACCCTTGCTTGTCGTAGAAGGCCACTAAATGGGGCGGTCCTTCGGATGAGACCGTATAAACCGAGGCCCCGTGTCACAGCAGGTGTGGCACGATAAAGATCCCTCCCTGCTCAAAGAGCTTAAGTGCCGAGAGAAGTCTCCATATCAGTGAAATATTATGGAGTGGGACGTTAAACAGTATACAATCAATCAATCTACTCAAATGTATATCTACCTGTCAAAGCAACAGCTCAGGCGACAGTCTACAGTGAGTAGTTTTTAACCATAATAAG